GAATATGCTGTTGATGATTCAGTGTACTTTGTCTCAGTAGTCTCTGTGGGTTGTGTTTCAGTGTAAGTATGCGTGGTTGTTGCTAAGCTGCCTGTTTCCGTGGTATCTCCTAGTGATGTTGGCGGGGATTTATCAGTTGTTTGTTCCGGATATTCTGATACAATGGTACTTTCAGTTGATGTTTCAGTGAGGGGGGTTTTTGTTTGTTCTGATAATGTTGTGTCTCCATGTGTAGTTTGTGCAGTCGTTTGCGTTTCTTCCTCAGTAGTTGACTGTATTTTTTGGGTAGATGTTATTGGTGGTTCATCAGTTGTTGTGTAGTCGCCTGAGCAACCTGTATTTTGATTCACTGTTTCGTGATATTTATTGTACCAGTATAGGTTGTTATCTACCTGTTTATACGATTCGTTAAATGCCTTCCTGAGGTTTTCCGGTGTGTTTGGATCATCTTTTAAATTTTTTATCTAAATGGAGGATACGATTATATATATTTTTTCGGTCAAATCATTTTTATTTAATTTGATTATTTTCAATATTTTGATTTCATTGTTTTTAATGCATATTTTATTTCTTACTTTATCGATTTCGGAATCAAGAGCTGCTTTTGAAGCGCATATTGAATATATAAATATTGCTATATTATTGCCATCAGTCAGTTTTTTGGTAATTTGGTCTAAATTTTGCACCAAAAAATCTATTAAAACTTCAAGTCCTATTGGCGTGGAGGATACTGCAGTAAATACATCATTAAAGTCTTGTTTACGAATTGGTCCATCATTACCATCAAAAACGTAGTTCAAATATCTATAAAATATATTGTTTGCCGTTAATTTAAATTTTGACGAATTTTTGGCTAAACTTAATGATAACGAATAAGCACAAATTTGTTGATCATGTTTCATTGTATAATGTATATGTAATATTACTCATTTTATAACCTCGACAATAGTGCATCATCTTCCGTGCATGCCAACGCTGTTTGCGCCGACTGTTTTTCGGAAGGTGATCTTGTTGTTTTATACAGGTCAAGCATTTGTTCCCATGTTGAGGTTTCATTTGTTATATGAACACCAACACAGAATGCCGCGTCTCTAATATCTGAAGGTATTCTATACAAATACGCAGGTATTTATTTTTGTTTTGTTCAATCCTTAGCGAAAGTTAAGTTTTATCAAACAGAAAAATATTGTTGCCTTAAATGTTTTATTCTTTGAGATAGATATTTTTTTCAATTTCCACATAATACTATTGAACTTGTTCTAATTACTTTTCTCCTTTTTGCCATTTGGTATAGTAATCAAACGCTGATTGTATGCACATCTCATTATTTAATTGACACGCCCATACAGAAAATGCATTCCAGCTAGTTAGGATAATGTGGTCTGTATTTTTTTCTTCTACTACTTTGTCTTCCGTTTTTTTATAAATGATACCTGCCAAGTTGCTAACGCATTCCTGTTAAATACAAATCAAATATTTAATGTTATAGCGATTTTCTGTCATGTAAAATAGTATTTTATATTGATTTTCATAACCAATCCTGTTTTGAATAATCATTATAATATGTTATCCGTAATAAATAAGTATATATCTCCTCTCGTTTTAGGGTAAAGTATTGATATTTTTGATAGGTGTCAATAGTCATTGTTTATACCTATGGCATAAACAATTAGCATACATTACTTACATATAGACAGTAACTATGGGGGATCTAGGGGCTGGACTTGCCTCCCCGACATTTTTTAAAGTTGAACAAGCGTTTTCATATTTTCAACTCAAACATGATAAGTGTCCAGTATCTATTTAAAACAAAAAGTTTTGCACCTCAAAACAATTTTTTTTGTTACAGCTTTTCATTACATTGATTAGAATGTAGCGGTGTGCATTTTATATTGTTTTAAATTTATGTAATCTAATTTTATGCATTATGCATAACTGAAAACTTAATAACAACTTGTTTATAAATTTAGTAAAAGCATTGATTATTTTTATTTGTAATCAATGGTAAAAAGTAATTTTCCAGTGTCAACATCATTTAATTGTATGGTTTAATATGGATAATATTTTCCATTTCATATAATTCATTCAAAAATTAATAGGTAAATAATATTATACTTAAAATGTAGTTTATACCCACTCTTAAATCTGAATACTCGGTTTCATTACGTCGCATGCGTTCTATTAGGTACGCATATCCGTTTATCGCAGAATACCATGGTAACACGTCATCTTCTATTTTTAAATATGATGATATTCTTAATGGAAATGAATAATGTAACTGATCAGCTCTGGCCAAGAAGAACGAATCGTCAATCAGCTGAGCACGGTTGAGTACATGAACTTCAGTAGGAGTTTCTTTCATTTGGCTGATCAGTGATGACCAATTGTCTGTGTCGTAATTAACCCTGTAAAACCCTACAAATTCATCAAATTCAACAAATACATGATAAAATAAAATAAAGAACGGTTTAAATGAATGAAATCAAATTACCAGCGGATTGTACATTAAATATGAACCACCCCGGGTCTTGTGGAGCCGATAGAATACATTTGTCCATCGTAGGCTTGAACCATGTAGCCAACGTTAAGTTTTCGAAATTTTTACTTGATTCAGTTGTATAAGTGATCCCAACGTACCATTTCGATGAATCGGTTATTTTGTCGGGAGTGTCCATTAGGCACCTTTCCTACAAAGACTTCAGTGTTACTACTCACCAAAGTTTGAATCCACAGTGCTATACGTACTTGAGTTATGACAAACTCGTCATTGGCCTTTACTACATTTATCATGGGGTATCCAGCTTGTTCTGTCCACTGTTTCATGAAATTAGTGGCCGTAACATCTTGCCCAAAATCAAATTGATATTCAGCTATAGTGTCTTCAAATGCCGCAAACAACCCGTCGGGGTCTACAGATCCGTATCTACATTGACGTCAACGAAATACAGTATTCATCAAAAAATTTTCCAAATATATATGTTCGGTGGATAAAGGGAACATATTATACTCTTTTTGGCTAGTAAACTGTTCGATTGAATCATATGACTTCATTAAAAAGACAATAATTTATTATAAAAATGTCATACTATATTTTATGATTAATTAAGTCACTCAATGTGTTTCATGCTAAAATCGTATTGACCTAAAAGGCATCATATAATCATAATTTCATCGAAGTTTGTTTAACTAAAATGGATTGATTCTTTTAGAGTTTCAGCAAACAAAACCAATATTTTCATATATTAATGCTAAATAAATAAATAATCGGAGAACATACTTGTACTGTTTCAAAAATCGGACCAACGACTGTTCGAATATTGTTTCGTTAGTGTAGCACTTTAACATACGCAAAAACGCGGCTGCCTTGCCATCAGTGGAGTCATAAAATATCTCGTTGATGTCATCTGGAGTGTTCACGGACGCAGTAATCGCACGCCTGGGCGTTTGGTCATACTCCAAAGCACGCTGGTGCCGTTCGACAACGAACATCTGGTTCATCCTCCAATCGGGATAGACCTAAATATACCAAAATAATGTTTAACTTTGCCGTTATTCTTCTCGTAATATTATATAACATATAACAAAAGGGTGTGGGACTTATAGCACTAAAAAACCGATAAAATATGACCCACAAAAAATAGTTATTTATACTTAAAACATACTTCAAACATAACTTTGAACAATATATTTTTTATACTATACACATTTATTAACTTTCCGTAAGAATAACATATTAATATGATCCAAATAAAACCTCATACCTTAAAATGTATAAAAAAATTACTTCTTTTCTCTACAATCCGGTTACAATGTAATGTAGAAGATATTTGTAAACTAATTTACGATATACTAAGTAATGTAAATTAAAAAATTAAATGATGCTACAATCATACTAAAACGCTATATAAAGTGCTTATTAGGCATATTATTTTTTATCAATCAACAAAAGTTTAAGTTATTTCGTTATTGAAAGTTCATAAAATGTTCAAGAGAAAACTCCAAATTATTTTTAAAAAGTAAAGTTAAATTTTAACTTAATGTTTGATAAGTAAATTAATTAACAAAACATAAATTTAAATTTAAATCTGAATTCTCTGTACTTCAGTGTTTCACTACATCCGAAATGAATGTGAAATGACTATAAGTCCCAAACCGTGAGAAGATAATATTATATATAGCTAATTTAAAATGACAAAGTCAACAGTAGGTACGGCAAACGTATCTGGGTAGAGGATTTAACGATATTTTGAACCCGGTCTTTTCAGACGAATTGAGCCAATACCTGAAACCGGTATGTTATAACCTTTAAAATGACAATGCTCATCTATACCCTGATATCAAAATATTGTCAATAATCCAGAAATTAAAAATCAAAATATCAAAAATATGAATTATGGCTTTCAATGTAAACTATTTTCTGTGTCAAAATATATTAAGAGGCTTTACAAATTTGAAAACTATAGTATTAAATACTATTTTGATTGAACTATGTACAATACCTATGTTAATATTTCTAATGACATTTAATAAATATATTAATTAATAAATAATTATTTCTCAAATTATTTTGATATTGATATTTGGTACAAAATGTAAAAAATAAATAACACGGAAAACCCATTTATTTTTAAAATGACTGTAAAACAATAAAACTATCAGGGACCAACAAGAGGATATGATTACGGGCTATTATTTTGTCAATAAGTACCAGAAATTAGTTTGAATACCTAATACCAATTCATTTATCCCTGATTAATTTAAGGTGAAAAGACCTGGTTCAAAGAAGCAAATTATAATTCGAACGACTGTCTAATCTCCAGATGTGCCAGATGTATACTCGAGTCAATCGGTCAGCGGCAGCCGTACACTCGTACCGTGTCCGTGGAAAAGTACTGAAAGTACGCGGCAAAAGCGTCGTGCAGCCACAGGTAGTCCCACCAGGAGCACGTGACCAAGTTTCCAAACCACTGACGAGCGATTTGACGCTGAACCATTGTTAGCCCAAGTTCCTTGGCTTTGGCGCTGGACTCATCGTCCAGTAGCAAATATTTTTCACTGAAACGAAAACGGAATAAGCACATATTAATAATTTTAAATGCCACGGATGCGTCAAATGAGTGTTACCTAACGAACATTTATCATTTGATGATCGTGGATATTATAGAATGTAAATATTAATAGGGCACAGCTTGGTATATTATACAATCGACGAGCAGTCTTACCGGTATGTGTTCAGTCCCCAGTTACCCATACCGTCCGACTTGAAATCCGGAACGGCGAACAAGTCCAGTTTCGGTAGCTCGTACTGCATTTCCGTGAAGTTCTCCATGGCCGCCAACAGCTTTGGTGCCTCACCGGATACGTATTTCACCTGGTCTAAGCGATCTACGTCTGTGAACACGTACACGGGGCTATCGCCGGCAACGCTTCCGGTCGTCGTCGAATCGAATCCGCTAATGACAAACGCGACCATGTGCGTGGAGATCGGCGGAGTCTCGACGAAAATGTCACGTATCTCTTGCGTGGATGCACTGAAATCATTTTTCGTGCACACTTGATCATCTTTAATCACTTAATATAATAATGACATCGGGTTTTTGCACCCAATTTATTTATTTGAGTTTTGACTTTTTGAGTGCTAGATGTATTCGGATGCCTAACATGGTATTGTGGTAATAACGAATTTAAGCAAACTTCACATCTACATTTGAAAACTATATTCTTACCTATTTTATTAATATTTCTCAGAAACTTATCTTAATTCATAAATATTAGCTATGATAGAATTGAGTACTTCAATAAAAGTTTTTAAAAAAAATGTTACTACAATTTTATATTTTTTGCTTGTTAGGTTGGCACCTATATAATTTTCTTTATCATACAACACAGTATAAATTATTTCTTTATTGATATTTTATGGAAAGTTAACTGTTAATATATAAAATCCTTGAAAAAATTGAAAAATAAACAAAATTTAATTTCAAATCTGAATTCTCTACTTCAAAACGTATGTCATAATTTATATTTATCTTTAATGTTTCTCTACATTCAAAATGGATATGCGTTTGCTATATGTTCCAAACCCTATGAAGGTGATAATAATATATAGTACTAATTTAAAATGACAAAGTCAACTGTATGGAAATCATGTCTAAAAGGATTTGATGATTTCACATGTTTGAAGTCTGTTTTTTTTTTATTATTATTATTCAATTAATTTTTACAATATTTTTTCTGATTGTATACATAATATAATAGAATTATTTATTAATTAGTAGGATATTTAATCTACTTTTTTACTGTTTAATATTCAATATTACTATTGGCATCCTTTGTCTGTATTACATGTATGGGAAGTAATTTATTTTTTGTCACCCCTTTGCTGCTTTCGATTGACTTACCGATTTACCAAATAATTACTTAGAATAAGACGGAGTAAACAACCTACCAGCTAGGATTTGTGATAATTATCTAAACGTGACATATAATTTAATACCCATTCATAAATATTAATCTGATTTATCTAACTTTTCTGGTCTCTGAGTAGCGAGATTTCCACTTTTCGTGGAAAAACATTTACGTTCTCCGGACAAAGAGAGGTCATTTTCTAAAGCTTTGACCGGCACCGACAATTTAATTTTTGTTAAATTGTGACTAAAAATAATATTTTACATCCCAAGCGATTAGCATAAAAATCACTTACATATTATTATCTTCAAACGCAATAAACTAATATATAGTTGCTAAAATATACTTTTAAAACCAAATTAATATCCGGTTGATGCACAGAACCATCCAATCACAATTTATCATCATTGCGACAAGTGTATTTCACTCACTCGTAATCACTGGTATAAATCGGCATATTGGACCGTGACGGTTTGTTTTTCGGCCTATTCAATGTTATGTTAAAAGGCGTTTTGTGCGCCGGTTCATCGTAACACGGAAATATTCTCCTGGCTCCGGTGGGTTCGAAATATGTCAAGAGTAGCCATCTATGAACAAAATATTTTTTTGAAAACAAAACTCTTATAACACTAAGGTACGTAAGCGATTAAGTTGCTCATCGTAATGTGACATTACACTAATATTCAAAGGTGGGCATTAACTAGTTGAAAAGTTAAAGTTAAGTTAAAAAGTTTGTTTTTTTAAAATTTTTTAACTTAACTAGTTAGTTTCTTTTCTAATTAACTTATGAACTTAACTAGTTTAATTTACAGTTGAAATAACTTAGCTATTCTCAGTTGATTTAAAAAAAAAACCAATAAGTTAAAAACATTTTGAAATTTTTTGTTTATACGTAAATATTACTATATCAGTATAAAATTAAAATAATCCAATACTATAATAACACAAACATTTCTGTACTTTTTCTTGGTAACATAATTTAGTGTATATTAATATATTTATTTTATAGTTTAATTAAATAAATAATAAAAAAGTAAAAGGGTATACAGTGCACATTATGATAAAAGTTAAATCAAATTGATTTATAATTTATAAATTAGAAACTAGAAAGACACATTCACTCTTTATATGATTTACTTAAAAAAAAAATTAATTAACTTTTTTTAAACTGAGTTAAGTTAATTTTTTTTCTATATTAACTTTTAACTNAGACACATTCACTCTTTATGTGATTTACTTAAAAAGAAAAATAGATTAACTTTTTTTAAACTGAGTTAAGTTAATTTTTTTTCTATATTAACTTTTAACTTATCGAGTTAAGTTTATAATTTGTTAACTGTTAACTTTTAACTTATCGATCTTGTGTCCTCTTAACTTAACTTAACTTGAGTTAATTATTTTCATTAACTTGCCCACCTTTGCTAATATTATATATTTATATGCAAAGTGAACTCGATCTAACTTCCGGATTAGATTTAGCCAAGGGAAATCAATTGTTCTCCCATAATACTTAATCATTATGTTTAATACTGCGTACCAAGTATATTACTTAATTACACTTGAAATATTTTATAATAAAACTCAGTTCAAAATAATATAACAAATGAGTCTGCAAACCGCTATAGCAGTCATATTTTAAAACGCCTAAATACGTGTATATATATATCTGTCATCAGTGTAATAATAATTATTATCATTCAATAATCACTTACTCTTTATGGCTGTCCTTGTCGTATGTACTTTTGTAGAATCCTTCCATTTCATTTGCATCGATTTTCACGTGATACTCGATGTTTACCACGTATTGAATTCCAACCTTTAATCGGGTTTTCAACAAAATGCTGCATTGTTCATTTTGTTCATCGCAACGGACTTCCGATACGTCAACGTCGTTTTCTGTTATTTTTTCGTGCACATACGCCACGTAAACTAGAATATCTTTGCTGTTCAACGTAATCGCCGAAGTTTCGGATTTCACGTCGATCACAATTTCTACCTCCCCGTCGAAGTCAACGGCGTCCGTATAGTAATTGTAATCCGGCGTGATTTTCAAATCGTACGAGTCCGGGACAGTATTTCCCGGCAGTCGGTAAACGTCCATTTCGTTTGAATCCTTGGATCCCGCGGACGAGCGTTCATCGTAACTGAAAACGTTCGCGAACAGGACAAAAAACAACAACACAATTACGTTTTTTGATATCATTACGTAGTTATTGACTGGTAATACACTGTGTCCTGAAAATATTCGGACCAACTGGCATCGCACAGACAAATAAAACCGAGTTAAGCTTATATCCTTGAAATAGAGTGTCGTCAAATCACGTTGAATCGTAGTTAATTATAATATTAATAACTGCGATGAAAAAACATTCAACGACTCAATTTACCCATATATATACTTTGCCGAGTACTTATCTATCTATCCACTCCAAGAAAATATAAGTGTGTGTTTCATTGAATCAGATTCCTGCAAATATTATATTTTTGAATTTGCGTCAATGCCATTGGTGGTCGTCGCATGATTTACGCTCAACGGATAGGTATGCTGTGCAGTTGGAAAATTACTTGAGTAGCATGATGCATTAAATAAATCTTATGTAACACTCTGAGTGTGGTTAATGGATTGCATGCGTTATTGGGTGTGCATAATAATACGCAGTCCAGACAAGAGTCGATGGTAAACAGTAAATGTAAATATATAACATTATGCACAAACGAGATGGTGGTTTTATCGAAATCAGTCGTAACGATAGAGGGTGCATGGATATTGCGATACTCGATGTGAACTCGAAACACACAACCAAACACACTTATTTGTTAGGAGGTCGTACAAACTACGATCCAAAAAGATTGTACTACGTTTTAAAGCTTCAGGAATGTCATCTCGAAATCACATCGAATTGAATAATTGTTCAAGTGGCATAAACAACTTGGTATTCAAATTGGATAAAGAGTTAAGGGTAAGTAATAATGTTGTAACAACTATTATACTGATGTTGTGCGTAGTTGAGTTCATTCCATTGATGGGAATAATAAAAAGACGTTCAGACTTCACTGGCTTTTGTTATAGTGAAAAAGTTCATCGGTACCTATGGATATTTTTTATATTAATTTAAGTATCATTTTGTCATTCACTTGAAACAAAGTACACAAATACTTCGTTTAATTTGAAACTAATATAACACTATTAATAAACAATGGAATACACCATGATAATAACTATGATAAATTAAAATTATAAAATTGTTCACCATTACACAAATTACAATGATAACATTGATAACTGGTATACATTTAAATCCAATGTACATTTATTTTCACGTTAGTGTGTTATTTTGCATTCACCAGATATGTAGGTACTCCATAAGTGATACGTGGAGCTTATGTTTTGGAGCGAAGCCCATAGCTGGATTAACATTAAACTCGATAATTCGACGAAAATACGCAAGACACCCTGTATATTATAGTATTATTTTCATTGTTCACGTAAAGTTCGAAACGCGTAATTAATGACTCACAAATTTACACAATTAATTTCCAATTATTTCAAACAGGATATAGGTACTACGCCATAATATAGGTAAATTATAGTGATTTGCTTACTCCCCCTCTCTTTCACTATATAATATATCCATCTGACTGAGAAATCTCGTACAAGTGTACCTATTTAACAAATTGAGCGTATATAGGTCAATTTTAAATTCGTAAACTGTTATAATTCTTAAAACTTTAATAAAATATTGTGCTGAAAATTGGAATCAAAATCAATCACAATAGGCATTGTACTAAATTTTAGTATAGTTATTTTTCCCAGTTACACACAATTGTATTTGATTGAGTAGGTATTGCAATACTAATAGGTAATAACTCGTTCTTAAGCAAACACGTTGAAGAGAACCAATTATTAAAAACCACAGATAACTTTATCTTTTTATAAATTATAATAATAATAGTAATAATAATAAGTCAATTAACTGCTAGATATTATAGTAAAATATATTACCTAGTGCGTTTGTTACAATCTAGGTATAATAATATTATTATCGGACCACAGAACCTGCTCAGTTCTCGCAGTTCAGCGATTGTTAAATTTGATATGTCGTGCGATCGGTCGTTACACACACATAAATATACTATAAAATAGTTGAATAATGGTACTAACACCAAAGAATAAAACTTAAGAAAAAAAACTAATATAATAGTGTTTCGTGCTCGAATTTGAGGACAAATATTAAATTGTTCCTAATTTCGTTATGTTTCTTAGAAGTTGATATCCAACTGACATAATTCTCCAAGTAATATGACATAATATATGCCTCGCCTGTAATAATGATTTGCAAATTGCATACAATTCAAGAAGTGCTATATGATAACCTGACCTCATGCACCGTGTATAGGCACTATTTAATATTTTACGTACCTATATGAAGTTTTAAATTCCAATTAGGATGGAAGGATTATTAGATTTTAAATTATGTTTCATTATACTGGTACTCACAGTCTACCAAAAAAAAAACTTCATTAATTTCATAATTTTCTTCGATAACCATCCAAATTGTAGGCACCTCGCATCTATAGTAAAATATGATGTATAAGCATATAATATTATTATTGGTAATTACGGTTAGCTAATTATTTCATTAGTTTTATAATTTTATTATTTTGAATTTTACATGGATTTTTAAAACAGGTTTTGTGTAAGTATTACTATTTTGGACATTTTTGTTGAATAATACGTCAATAGTTTCTATTAATTTATATTATTACATAATAATATATGATTTCTAATAAAAAGTCTATTTCAACTTTCAACTTCAGTATTGTAACCACAGAATACATTTTTGCAAGCAAGTAACAACCCAATTATTTTAATTTTTTACACTAGATTATTGTTTTAATAGTTATGTGACAAAAAATAAACGTATAACAAACAATATTATAATATCACTATGAATGTATCCCATCATCATTCATTTTACAGGTTTGTTTAAATTAACTTTGCTATAGTACCTATTCATACCTAGTACATTTTTTGAGTGAGTAGGTAGCTGATATTTCAATATTTGTGTATTCATAATTTTAAATTAGTATTTCTCATATTATAAAACCATACCTTTTTTATACTTATTTATAGGGTTAGGATTTATATGCATTTGCATGTTTTTTTCCTGAAGTCCAAATCGATTGGTTGTCAGATTTGTCCACGGTTTGGCTTATTCTCATTTAAATAGAACTAATTTTTTTTTGCATATTTTGCATATTTTGAACACAATGCATATAATTGCATATTTATAGATTTTTGAGTTTTTCATTTTTTTTAACTTAAATTTTTAAATTTTTATTAATTATTGTTAATTTTAAATGGCTTTTATTTCATAATACCGATAGTTTTTGGTTTATCCGTCGAATTGTAAATAAAATATAGTATAAATATCTTATCTTATCTTATCTTGATCGGACGACCGATAGGATTACCTACACGTTGTTCAACGACGTATGTATAATACGACGTGTGTTACGTACTTGCGTAAATGTGCGAACACTTATACTTAAAAATTTGAGTGGTTTTAATTACAGTATTCTAAATGAAGAAGAAGATATTAATATTAATCTAACTTTAGGGAAAATCCCGTCATTCAAATATGTACCAATAACTGAATCACCTCATGTGATGTGGAAAGGAGTTTTAGTCAGTATAATTAATCTATTCTACGTTTAAATCGCCGCCGCCGGTCGTTCTTATTTGAATATTTGAAACATATCATAGAAGCCTGTAATAATATAAACTAATATTTAATGTAATTATATAAACTTATATTTAATGTAATAATAATAAATTATGAATTATGATAAAAATATATATCTAGAAATAATAAAAATTTGATTTTGCATATTTTTGCATATTTTGGTAAATAAAATGCATATTATACAATTTGTTATTGCATATAAATCTTCTAGTCTTACTTATTTATATTATAAAATTGGATATTATTGTGTTTTTACTTACTTATACATTTTAATTAATATAATAATTAAATAACTATATGTTAAATATATACACTATTGGTTATCAAAAAATTAAATGTTATCTAAAATTATCTAAGTATACAAAAGTGAAATAATAAGAGAATATATGGTTATTTAATAAAATATTTTGACGAAATTGCTCATTATTTTTTTAGCGTGTGGATCTAGTTTATCAGTATACGCATTTGATTATAATAATGATTTTTTTTTTAATGAAAACCATTTAAGTATTTTTCATATTCCAATGAATACATTAATTTACATTTTTTTTTTATTATCTAATCTAATGTTTATTTTGAATGAGTGTTTAAAACCCATATAATATATAAATATTAATAGATTTCTGCTTATAATTTTTCTTCTCTGTACCAGCTATACACAGTGTACACAATTTGTTCATAGATCGGAAGGTTACGACTGTTGAAAACTCGTTGGAATACACTCAATACAATTTCATATTTTCATATAGCAAAAACCCGTGATACGAAAATCTTTTTTTCAATAAATACAAATTTGGTATTATTGTAGTACCTATTTGTATAACGAATAATTTATATTCTATAGGTACTGTCATTGTCAACATATTATCCTAAAATTTTATATAATAATAACACTACTTGATTTTCTCATATAAGTGAATAGTTGTTATAAATAACCAATTACTTATAAACAAATCAGGCAAAGTTGAAAGTATCGATGGAATTCTGGAGTTTGATTAGTGATTACTGACTAAAAAATTATCAAGATAAACTATATTATGTACAGTGCTTATTAGGCAATGTTGAAATTAAAATAATTAATTAATTAAATACGATTAAAACTGTTCAAATTATAATTACAATTTCAAATAACACACATTTTCTTAACAAAGATAATTTACAGCTAGAATTAAATTACATAATTTATACTTAGATGTAACTGGTTTCAGTTTTTATAACATTTATATGTTAACCTAACAGTTCTTCACAATGCAAATATACAATAGAAAGTAATATTTTTAGAAGTTTAGAACTATCGAACATAGGATATACGAAGTAGGTAGGTACAATATTTTATTATAACACATTTGAAACAATAACATAGTCTTAAGAACAACACATATTCAATTATAATTTAATGACAACTTATGACGACTTTATGGCCAGCAGTGCAACACATGAATATATTTAAATTTATTGATCCAAGAATATAATTGGATGCCATTTGTTTTTTCAAAATCTACAAAACGACCATAGTTGTTGACGCGATGACAACGATAATGACGAAAAACAAACTACTCCGACAAGACGACTGACCAGATTTATTAGGACACTTGGATATTACACCTGGTGTTGGGCTATCGAAATCAAATTCTGGATAAGTTGGCATTGGTTTCATCGGTTCAGTGATTCCTGGCATAGTTGTACCATTTGACGACATGGTTGTATCCAATGGCTTTTCAGTCGTATTTGACTTCGTCACAGTCACAGTCGTATCCGGCAACGGCCCAGTAGTTTCTGAGAAACGCACAGTGGTGTCCGACGGTGGCAAGGTTGTATCCGATTCAGTTGGCACAGGTTCCATCGGGGCTCCTGTCCATTGGTTAATTGTGGTGTGGTAAAGTTTATACCACAAGAGATTTTGTTCTACCTGCACGTACGATTCGTCGAACGAAGCTTTAATTTTTGGTGGCAATCCAGCAGCGTTCTTCAAATTTATCAACTGAAAAATACATTTATTAAAATAATAACAGTATTAATCATCATATTATTTTTATTTTTGTAAAGTTGTTTTTTGTTTCAGACAATTTTCATCTGAATAAGGAGTATCAAGAATGCAAAAAGTTATTTAGTATCATAATAAGCCAAACTTCCTAAGACCTTACTATTTAATATTATGAAAATCCATTGCTAATAGAAAATCGATTGTAAAAATAAATTTCAACATGCATTTTGTAAATGCTAATGTTTAACGACAGTACATACAAACAGTTTTTGAAATTTTATAATAACGGGTAATATCTACATAAAATTACTTATGTTAATTCATGATATATCCAAAAATATAGAGTTATTAAGGAACTTCGAGGATCACATATCTACTCAAAATAAAATATATATTTTTATAACTCAATATTTGTTGAGAATTAACTATTTATTTTGGATCTCACCTTAGCTATTTCAATATCAAGAGCTACTTTTGAAGCTAAAATCCTATACATGTACGTAACGATACTCTCTCCGGTAGGTATTTGCTTTAGCATTCGTTCTAGGTTGTTCATTAAGAAGTTCGTTAACGCTTCGATCCCTTGAGGTGTCAAAGACATAGCATCACATATGTCCTTGAAGTCTTGTAAACGTATTGGGCCACCTGTATTGCTGTCAAATAACAATTCCAAGTATCTGAAATAAAATTAATAAGAAATTAAACTATCGCTTTCGTTTGGAGTAAACGAGGTAGGTAGGTACATAACGCAGGTAATAAAAAAAACTAAAAAAATATAAATATAAAACTGAATTTTTAAAAATATGCTTCAGACAGAAGCGTTTATTCCGATTATTCCTCGGGAGTTTTTTTTTTTTATGAATAATATAATATTTTTGAAATATACTTAAAATTCTATTTTAAATATATTTTCGTTGAATTTATATTTACATGTGAAATTATGTTGCGCATATTTTAAAACTTTAGTTTTTTCCGACGAGTAAATATATTTGTTTAAACATTGTTAAATAAAAATTTGGTTCACATGCTTACCTATATAATATTGATGTGTCTTGTGAACAAGCCAATGCTGCCTGAGCTGAGTATTTTTCAGATGCTGATTTAGTGGTCATGTACACGTTGAGCACACCTTGCCACGTAGTTTCGTTGTTACTGACTTTAATTCCTGTACACAAGGCAGCGTCTTTAATGTCGGGTGATATTCTGATTAACAAAAATAAGAAATTACTTAAAACTAAAACCAATAACTAGCAAACATAATACTTATATATATATCATATTCGCCATATTTTGAACATTACCTTTCTCTATTTATCCATTTTTGGAAATATAACACTGCGTTGTTAGTGCAATATTCACCGTCCAAGTAGCAAGCCCACACAGAAAATTTATTCCAGCTTGTTATCGTTGTGTGATCATCATTTTGATATTGGACAACTAAAAGTTCAGTTTTTCTGTAAATATATTCGGCCAATTTTCGAACATAAGACTGTAAATTACAAACATACATTATGTAACATATTACTAACAGGATACAATATTGGTAGTACTTAATAATATATTATATAGGTAATATTAACCACTGTAATAATGAAACATCACGGTTTCACATTTCTGGGTTGTTGGTTTTATTGATTATAACTAGTTAGTTATGCATATCTAATAACACTTATAAGAAAACGAAAAAGCACTATACATTTTTTTTTATAGAAAGCAAATTATACAAAAAGAATAACTACAAACTATTTTTAAAAATCTAAAATATAATTTTATTAGCGTTTTATTCTTTGATGTTATTATATCATATTATATTATGTGTATGACGTATGTCTATTACACGTTACAGTTAGGCAACAATAAAATTATATTATAAGAAAATTATAATAAGAATGTAAATAGTAAAAACAATATCAAAAGAAATAAATATAAAAATAAACTACAAACATTTCGATTTAAAAGCAATGGAGCCACCTTAGAGCACATTATGTTATAAACAAATTAATACTATTTAAGGTACCTTTTGAATATTTCAAATCCACTTAGAGCATAAAACACATTCTGTGAAAAAAGTTTTTTTTAACAAAAAGCTAAATTAAAATTTTTTATATTATTCCTCGTACTCATATGAATCTCATTTATAGCTAATATAATAGCTTCGTATTCGACAAAAAGAAAAACAACAAATGCCTAAGAAATCCGAACTTTGATCATCATATCACAACAGTGAAATATAGAGTGTACTAATTTGATCAAGCATAATATTATATTGAAGATTAATTACGTCACTATTTTTAAATAACACTATACACTGTAAAACATATATTTAATAGGTAAAAATATAAATTTTCCACAATTTTTTATTCATAAAATACGTTTCATATCTTTAACATTAAAGTAGGTATGTCAAAAACCCTTTGGCGATGACTGTTTACAGTGAGCCCTATAAGAATTGAGTCGTACATATTATAGAAGTAGATTATATAACATAACTCCATCACCAACAATTCAAGGTCACATTATATAAATTTGTATAGGACACTATATAAGTTTCCTTACATACCTTTATGTAATCGTAACCCTCAGCACTACGACGCATTCGTTCGACCACATAAGACAAACAGTCAATGGCTGTGTAAAACGGTATTTCATCGTCTTCCTTCATGAGGTAAGTCGACAGGTTCAAAGCTACGGAATAATGTAACATTCCTGCTCTTGCGAGATTGAACGAGTCATCGATCAGCTGTGCTCGATTCAGAACATGTATATCGGTATTTGATTCGTTCAACTGTTGTATAAGTTGCTGCCAATTATTGAGATCATAGTTCACCCTATATAATCCTGCCAATAACAAATAAATTCCATAATTAAAAACTCACATAAATATTTGGAGGGAAGAAAAATACCAGCGCTTTGCAAATTGAAAATCACCCAAGTACAAAGACTTGAATCTCGCAAGTACATTACTGTCGTGGAAGGTTTTATCCATCTAACTGGTCTTAAGTCACGAAAGTTTCTAGCTAAATTATTAGTGTAAGTAAGACCAATGTACCAGCTTGTAGTATTATTTTCGGATGGCCAAACCGAAAAAAGTTTCTAAAAAAAAAATCAAATGATTTATGTATTATTTTTGGCATTTATTAAAATCCCATAATTTACTCGGTTGAATCTAATATTTACCTGCGAAATAATATAAGTGTTTTGATTTCTAGTGACGTTTATTACTGGATAACCTGACTGATCAGTCCAAGACTGTATAAAATTGGTGAATGGCACGTTATCTGACAATTTATATCCAGTTTCAAAGTAATAATTTTCAAATACTGCCCACAAATTACTCGGAGTTACTGCACCGTATCTAAATGGAACAATTTGGGAATTGTATAGACAAATATGTTACCTAACCACTGAACTGATCTTAAAATGTAACGTACTTAAAGTTATTCAAATACAACTGTAAAGGTTCTTTGAAATTGTCATCAGTTACTATGCATCTTAACATCCTTAAAACAGCAGCAGCTTTGTTGCAAATCACTCCTTCAAGTAAACTTTGGATTTCGTCAGAAGTTTTTACGGATGCGGTAATCGGGTGTCTCGGAGTCTGGTCGAACTGCATGGCAGTCTGGTGCTGCTCTACGACAAATAATTCTTCCAACCGCCAGTCCTGATTTACCTAAAAAACGATCCAATAAATAAAATCAATTCAAGTACATAGATCCAGACATCATTACGGCTGAACTCACCATTTCCATCGCGAAATACTGGAAATACCGACCGAACCCATCGTTTAACCATAAGTAATCCCACCACGCACAGGTCACTAAATTACCAAACCACTGGTGGCTATTAAGGTTTTGGATCACCATTTGTGATTGCTCTTTTAATTTCATTTTTGCATCGTCGTCGAACAACATGTACTTCTCTCTGTGCGCCCAATGATAAAAATATACAAAAACATAAAACATTTTAGTACAAAACCTAATTTGATAACTGATTTAAATACCGGTAAGCATTTATTCCCCAGTTTTCCATCCCATTTCCATCAAAGTCAGGTATCGACAAAAAGTCCATTTTTTTCAATTCGTTTGAACTATCTGTGTAATTCTTCATGGTTTCGAACAACGTCGGAGTTTCTGCCGTAACGTACAGCACTTGATCTAAGTAATCACTATATGTGTAAATATCGATCTCGCTTCCTTCTATCGCATCTGATTTTTTCAAATAACCAACAAGTGCGCCCACTAAATAGGTTGGTATTGGTGGTGTCGTTTCATAATGATCCGCATACCAGCCATAGTATTCTCTATGAGGATAAAAATGTGAACAGTTAACGCATTTCCATGACATTCAAATATATTTTTTCAGCAGGAATTTTTCTACTTCAAAAAGCTCTAAATTTAACTTTTTTTTAGTTGTATTAAAAGAAAACCAGAAGTATTTACATTTATGTATAGTGAATAAACGCAATTAATATTTGATACTTTTATATCCCAAAAATTATAATCATACTAATTGTAAATTTGTAAATGTTAAATATGTGACCTGACGTGATGAAATATTTGGTTTAGAGTTTCGTTTTCATACCAAATCATCTACCAGTCAACATATTTGCCATAAATCAACCGACTACGAGCCGAACATTAGGTATATAAATATACAAGATTCAACTTTTTTTGAAATTATTAATTATTATGTGTAAATGTCTTCTTAATTTTTGCCTAATTCTTTGAAGTTTATTTTTATTCTAACTTGAATAGTATAATGAATATAATATATTATGTTTTAATACGTAAAACTCGTAATTTTTCTATTTTCATAGTAAATTAATAGGTGACTCAATCACTTTCCTATAAACTAACAGATTAGAAAATAATTATATCATACTCTAATAATACAGTTTAAACAAAAAAATTAATCAATATCGTTATAGATAGAAACAATTTTAAGTAGTGGTATATTATTAATGATTATATCCAATTCATGTGCAGTCATATAGAATAAAAGTAAACTGCTTCATGAGAACGTATACAGAGGACAATATCATTAATGTAAAAATGGTGGGAAACCAAATTTCTTCGAATCGTTGCATTAAGAGGATGAAAATTATGGTTTATTTCTGAGTTAACTTGATGACTCACAGTCTCTGCGTAAAGTATCGAGGCATATTGGATAACGTCATCTGATTCTCTTGTCTGCCAAGTGATATATTGAACGGAGTTTTGTACTCAGGTTCGTCGTAACATGGGAACGCTCTCCTCGCGTACGTGGGCTTGAATTGCGATACAGCCATCCATCTGAAAATACATTAGAATAATATTACATCACAGAAATGTTATTAATAATAAAGAAAATATCTGATGCCATTTTATCTATATTTAACGAGATGGCGTAAAACTAAATTTTATCTTTGAAATCACTGAAATGGTGCTACATCGAAAATGAAGTGGAGTAATTATTGTAAATCAGAGCAGTTGTGAAACATATTCACGTAGGTACAATATACTAATCAGATTCTTATAACCCAATAACATAAAATTATAAAAGTTTTTTTTTGAACTGTGTCTGTGACACATATAAATGTATCTTATAGGGGAATTGTTAATTTTGACGTAAATAAAATAGTAGATATTATTATTTTGAATTTATCATTGAAAACCTTTACTTAATGGAATAATATATTTCCAATGAAGCACAAATTAAAAAATATATACATACATAGTATTGCATTACTAATTTTTAATTTCTGAATTAAAAATTGTTCATGCGTTTTATATTTTAGTGCGCATTGTGACAACCTCCCAAACCCCTCCCACACAGATAGGACCCCTCAAAAATACATATTATATTCTTGACTTACTTGTTTACATTATTTTCCTTATACATACTCCTATAGAAACCGGTCATGTCAGTCCTCAGCAGTCCTTGGAAAACTATCTTCACCTGATACCGACGGTAAGCCAACAGGTTGTTCGCTGCGTAGATGTACAGGATCTCGGCGTCGTTGTCTAATTCGTAAGAGTCCACCGGAATGTCCGTCTGGGTCTTAAACTCAGTGATGGCCACGCTCTGAATCTGCATGTCCTTGGCATTCAACGTCACGTTTGGTGTGATGCAATTTATGTAAATGAGGATCTCCACCTGGCCTCCAAATGTATATACATCCGAGCCTTGGTTATACTTTGGCACTAGCCGCAAGCCGTAAGCTAACGGTTTCGTGTCACGCGGCAGCCGGTAAGACGACGATGGATCCGATTCGGCTTCAGCTTGGGCCGGATCATTGACGGCAGAGCTGGCAATCGGATGGACTGCAACGAGTGCAGCAACGATTGCGACGATTTTTGTTACCGTTTTAGCGCCCATATTCGTTGTTGACACCACTGACGATTCCGTCGAACAGACGACGGTGGATTGTTACCGTTTTCTGCCAACACTCCAAACCCGATCGCAAATAAGGTCTTATCTACAACAGTGTGCGCACTCGAACTGCGATACTATGTCAATTTACAATCGACGGCCCCACTATTCTGGAGGGCTTCGCTGAATCAACAAGTTATTTCGTATAGACTGATTATTTCAAACGCATACGTATTCAACAAAAAAACGCATTCCTCCACTTTCACAGCATAAATACCTACTCAATTAAATACAACTTGACTGATTGTACCAAATTGTCGCAACAACCGAAAATCACAAGAGAATGACTTTTCAAAGTTTCCTTTTCCTTATTTAATGTGATAGAATTAACTAACTATATGTAAATGCTAACTAAAAAATATGAACATTTATTATGTAATATACTTACACACTAAAGTACTCATCGTTTGCATAAAGCAAGTGACGATTACGAAATGAATTTCTATGTTTATAAAAAACAATAACACTCTTGAGCGTGTTGAGTGGCATTATGGTCGAGTGATTATTTTAAAGAAACACAAAGTTCTTCCTTACGGATTTTAGCAAACGCAAAAAGTGTTAATTGGATTTTTTTGGTTGTTTATTTCTAAGATCTCATCCCAGTTAAATCTAATCAATGAAATACAATGTCATGTATTGATGCAAATCATTATATTTTACATTCCAAATGAATGCCTAATAATATTTGGTTGTGTTTTTTATTGTAGTTTTAATTTGTAAATACATACGTGTTTTCTCAAAATGTCACGATTTTACGAACGTAGCTGCAGCTCCAAGACTACAGGATGCAGATTCTTCGATAACTATGGTTTATTAAAATAATTATTCTATTCTCAACAACGTAATTTTAAATTCTAAGCCAAGGTATTTTCGTATATTTACTTTTGTTATTAATACATATTGAATTGTTAGATTACATTAAATTATGTCTATAGACTATATTATAATCCATTTTGAATAGGTACCTACTACTTAATTCTCATTTCAAGTAATTCGATTTAGTATAAAATCTTGAAAGGTTAATATTATTAATATTATTAATTATAATAATAGACTATAATGGGCTTCAGTATAATATATTCTAATAAATGATTTATGTATCTGAAAGTAAGTATAAATATTCAAATATAAAATCACTAAAGTAACACAATATCCAATTCTATTGCTTTTATAAAATATATATTTCCAACCTACCAAAAATAATATAATATATACTTATAAAAAAAAGCAGGTACATATATCATTACATTTTGTCAAGATAAATTTGTACAAATGCGGAGAATAAAACCAAATAAGTCATGTCTAGGACGGTTATCACTCATCAAGCATTCGGTTTTACGAGTTTATTTTTTTACAAAATATAATAATATGCTTTTAAAGCTGTACAAATTGAGAAAAGTAACAATATCCAACTTCTATGAACAGGTGGTGCTGTTGCACTGGATGGTCTAAATGTAGTTGTTGTTACATATTTAGTGACTGGTAAGGGAGAAGCGGTAGACTGTTCTGTGGTACCTATTGAGGTTACAGTGGACGTTTGATTAACCTTCGTCGGTATTTCAGTAGACATGACTGTAGTTGATGTGGACTCCGTCACTGTAGTTTGTGGATCAAGTTCTTGATTTTCTAATGCCCATTGGCTGATTACATCTGCATATTTATTGAACCACGCCAGGTTTTCATTGACTTTTTCATAAGATTCTTCGAACGACGATCTCACAGAAACAGGTACATTGGAATCGTTTTTCAAATTTCTTAGCTAAAATAAAGTGTTCAAAATATTTATTCCTTGTAGCCGAAGTCAATCAATATAATAAATACATAATTTTAAGTCAACGAGTTCATGTATTATTATAACTGAGGTTCTGGACAAAAAAATGAAATAAATAGTAGACTTATGAGACTTGAGAATTGTTACTGCTGGGTAATAGAAAATGGTAAAAATTATAACACGAGGATTAAAAAAAAATACAAGATTAAAATATTTTACTGAAAAAAAATGTTTTGTACGATAAGTCGATTGAACTATCCTTTGCTCGTTAGGTTTAATGAAAGGGAAAGGGGCTATAATAATATACCTGGTACTTACTTTCTCAGTATCGTTATCGTTAGTCATCTTGGTGGCCAGGGTTGAGTAAATATAAGTTGCAATACTTTTGCCGTCAGGTACCTCATTCAGAGTTCTGTTCAAATTAGTTGACAGAAATTCGTATAACACATTGAGACCTAACGGTGTCGCTGATATTGCAGATACAACAGATCTAAAGTATCTTTTCTCAATCATACCATCTAATATATGGTTAATGTACCTGAAACGAAATAAGCAGCCCCAATATTTTTCATGAAGAAGGTTATAAAAATAACAAAACACTGAAGTTTGAAAAAATAGTGAATGCAAAATGTAGTAAATAATAATAACTTAAGACTGAGCTATTAGTTTATAATATTACCTACATAAATATAAGAACTAATATTTTTAACTTTATACACATACTCAGTTAATTCTGTCCTGTTAGTAGAACATCCAAGAGCCAACTCAAATGACATTTTTTCTGAAATCGATTTTGATTTCTTGTACAATTCAAACATTTTTTTAAAGACCGATGAACCATTGCTGTTTTTTACTCCGACGCAGAACGCCGCGTTCTTGATATCGGCTGGTATTCTATACAATACCATTATTTGAGTTATACATTTGGATGGTTATGGTGTGCTAATAGATAGTTACTAACTTCTCTCCGACTTGCCACTTATCAAAGTATTCCTGTGCTTTCATTATACAGTATTTGTTCTCCAACCTACAAGCCCACGTCGAAAACGTTTCCCAAGCACTCATCACCTTGTACTCAGTGTTGCCGTTCGACACGAGGGATTCTAGCTTAGTATATATGGTTCCCGCCAAGTTGCTGACATGAGACTGAATTCAAAAAAGAAGAATATATAATCTGTTACCTTCAATTATGTATTATCACCATCAAGCAAAGTATCGATGATATTTACCTTGAAGTTTGCGTATCCTTTGCCACTGGGGGACATCCGCTCTAACAAATACTCGAAGCCATTCATTGCCGAATACCATGGCGTAGTGTTATTTTCATTCTTCAGGTACTTGGACAAGTGCAACGGCACTGAATAGTTCAATTGGCCAGACCTCGCCAAATTGAACGCGTCGTCTATTAGCTGGGCGCGGTTAAGGACGTGGATATCGTTGGGTGTATCGTTCAGCTGCTTAATCAGTTCCATCCAGTTGTCATTTTCATAGTTCACCCTGTAGAAACCTGATTGATAGACAGATTGGTTTGAGATCAATTATAATTCAACTATAAATGACACTCACAACACCTTCAACACTTACCGACGGATTGTATATTGAACATGTACCATTTTATATTCCGTGGGGCCGTTATAACAGTCAACGCCGATTCTTTGTTCGTCCAAACGGATGGTTTAACATCACTGAAATTTTTGCTCGCGTCGGTTGTAAACGTAAGACCAATGTGCCAAGCCGCCGTTTTGTTGACGATTCCATCGGTCTTATTCATATAAAACTGGCTCTATTAAAAATATAAAAATATCAAGATTTAAATAATAAATGGATTTTGTATACGAATAAATTACGACCTTCGACTAGTATGGGGATGAATTTTATCCGAATATATGAAACACTCACATGTTAGCATTTTTGAGTTGAATCATGGTCCATGTATTTAAATGTATGATCATAATTTATTAAAATATTGAATTTACTAATTAATTACTTAGGCTATTATGTTATTGCTAGGGCTATTAGAACATTTTGAATTGAACAAGTTGGTTTTCTTTACTTGAATCACTAAAAATGTGTTTGTAGTTGTATTTCTCTTGATGTTCAGTACCGGATATCCCGATTGTAACGTCCAATTGGACATAAATTCGTTTACCGACAATGTATTCCCAATTTCATAATTATATTCGTATAACACAGAATCAAATGCTGAAAATAGGTCTGAAGGCTCTGCTGCACTTTGACTATAAATTTAATCCAACAATTATTTCTAACAAACTCAATTTAATAATCAATATTGTATATTAAATATGAATATACTAATATTGGAACTTAAAATGTTCTTATTTTTAATATTAGTAAGAAAACATTAAATATACCTCATAGTTCGCAAATACTTTTGAAGGGACATTTTGAACAGATATTTAGTCACTAACGAATTCAACATTCTCAAAACCGATGCTGCCTTTTTGTACGATATGGGATCAAATACGTTTTGGATCTCTTGAGGCGTGCTTACGGACGCAGTTATCGGATGTCTGGGCTTCTGGTCATACACCAATGCACCCTGAAACGCTTCGACTAAAAATAGTTCTTCCATCGGCCAGTTGGTTCTCACCTACTCCGACAAGGGCAAATGAATGTACTTTAACTACTTTTATAGTGAACATAAAATTTAAGAAATATAATATAAACGATAATATTATGATAGTATATTATGTATTTTGTATTGTATACCATTCCAGTAGCAAAGTACTGAAAGTACTGCGCAAAACCCTCGTTCAACCATAAATAGTCCCACCACTTACAGGTGACCAGGTTTCCAAACCATTGGTGAGTGAACTCGTGTTGTACAATTATGGAAGCACGCATTTTCATTCTCGATTTCGAATCATCCGACAGCAGCAAATAGCTTTCCCTGCAAAAATTCAAAAGTACGCCCATAAAACAACAACAACAATATTAACCGTCGAATCCACTTATCCGTCGTGCCTTACTGATAACTATTGATTCCCCAATTTTCCATTGCCCCAAAACTCAAATCTGGTATGGCCAACAAGTCCATTTTGGGCAGCGTATATGGCAAGCCCGTGTACTCCTCCAGCACGCTTAAATGTTTCGGTGCTTAGTTCATGACATATTGGGTTTGATTGGATAATTCTCGGTGTGTGTACACCGTTATCGTTGACGAATCTTTCTTACTAGGTACGAATTCACCCACGTATATAGCAGCCAAGTAACTCGACATCCGAGGAGTTTGAGCGAAGTAAACCGTTTCTGATTGGTTCAAACTGTATTGGAGATTTCACTATTAGATAATTTTTCAATGACTTGATATAAATTAGAATGTTGTGTTGTAATTTAGGGTGACCACAAAAATAAAATAAAAATACGAGACACTAAAGTTACTTAACTAACTATATTAATATAAAAACAAATTAAATGTATGCTGTATAATAGTTTTTAAATACAAATAAAATATATATATACACGAAAATTCCCAAAAAAAATTATCTTGATGACGATGGCAGGTAAATTTCTTCTTTTGATGTTTCTGTGTACTCTTGTGCTGAACTGATTTCACCGAGTAACTTAGTTTCTTTCAATATAATATTATAAAACTCATTACAAGATAAGTTTTTAAAATGTGTTCTTACAATTATAATTGATTTGATAGTTTCAACCAAAAAACGATGTTTTTCATCTGTCCATAACACATTAATGGTTAAAAAAATCCGTACTACTGCAGCATTTGTACCCGGCATAACCAAAAAATATTTTACAATTTTTGATATTTTAGTTGTATACTTGTATCAATGTTATGCACTTTAGTGTATTCAAATATTTCACACCACTTAACTTCTACTTTAGCTGAATTTTTTTGCATTCATGAATTCGCGGTTTAAAAATTTGTTTTACATAACTGAACTCATCAAATAAATTATTTTCACCCAATTTTAAGTTCAGAATTATTTTGGTTGTTTTCCATAAGAAATTGAACATTTTCTCAAGTAGGACTCTCTATTGTTGGACCCAACGAAATATTTTCAACTGGTCAAAGTGGAAACCCCATTTTTCTACATAAGATAAAAAAGTATTATAAAATAGATCAGTTCTTTTTTTAAATGAGTTTTCATTATACATTTTATTGTTTTCTAAACCATTTAAAAACGATAAAATATTTGTAGTAACGAAGTTTAGATTTTTTCTATTTTTTATTTTTCCAACTAAAATTTTAAATAAACCACACGTCACTACGACTGCACTGTAAGTGTCATCGTGAACTCGACACTCTCGTATAAATATCAATAACAAATTATATTTGTAATTTTACATGGATAAAATATTATAAATATTATAAAATAAAAATAGACAAAACATTTGACAATAAACTGGTTGTGGCGTATGGAATTGTACTTATTTAGTAGACGACTTCGCCACACATCAATATAATAATAATATTTTGTAAGTTATACAATTAGTATTTTATAATCATTGGTTTAACATTGCCGACAATGATGTGACATTATTAGTTTTCTATTTTCTACTCGCAGCAATTATAATAATTTATTGTCAAGACAAGAATCTAAAAATAATGCTGATAAGTATAGATTTAAATATTCTATTGAATAATAATATTGAATTGTGATACAAAAATATCGTAGAAAAAAAAAGTTATACGTTAACAATTAAGAGAAAAACATGATTAATACGGGACCTACTTGAAAATACGGGACAAAATGCGTCCCTTATAACTTTGTCGGGACAAACGAGACACAAAGTGGAAATTCGGGACAATTCCGTATAATCGTAATTTACGCAAGTTTTAAGTGATAAATCGCTTGATAAATTACAAAGTTTTGTATTTTTATTTTAACCATTCAGTGCTGATAGTAATTTTTATTAATGAGCATATTTGTATTACCTATTTAAATGTATATGTATGTTGGTTTGAAATTTGAATGCTATAAATTATAATACGTTGTAAACTACAATAGTTATTTAGATAATATTCAAATACTTGAAGGCTTGAACCAGAACTACTATTTGGTATTAAACTTTGAAAACAATTCAATTTTTGTAGTTCGTTAAAATATTCGTTAGTTATGTCAGTTTTTAAAACATTTTGAATATCTTAGTTCCATATTATTTATAAAAACAATTTTACAAGCGACCTTTTTCTTATATGAATGTACCTAATCTCTTGTTGTATTTACTTTACGAATGAAATACTACATTTAACCATCCCATTGCATATCAAACATGATCTATTGGAGTTTAGTGTTTTTAATTTATGAAATATCGCTAACACTTGAATATACTTAAATGATTCGTCATTAACCACAAAAGTTTTGATTTTCTATTGTAATTTTATGAAAATATCAAGTACATACCTTCTAAAGTCATTATTAAGCGTTTATAAATACAAACATTAAATTTCAAAATACGAATATTTTAAAACACCATGTTTAAACATTTTTGCATATAATCATTATTGGGTTATCTACTTATTTACATTGTTAGTTATAATCTTTAAAAATACAGTATACTTAGTATATTATTATATTATATAATTGTAAATGCGTTAAGTATTTTGATATATTTTAAAATGAATTTTTATTTTATTCTTGAAGTTTCAGTTTTATAGTATAAAAAATAATAAAATATTAGTTTAAAGCACATTATTATGTATTATGAAAACTTCTTAGCAACTAATTGTTACGCAATAGTACTATAAACTTGTCAATATTCGATTAATATTTCACCTTAAATACACTTTGATCATATATAGTACACAGTCGTTCGACTAAATTGTTAGGTACTCGAGGACAAGTTTTCAAAAAATTCTACAAGTACCTTTATCTTGTTGATTTACGGGAGCGCTGTTTACTTTTTAAATGAATCATCAGTGTTCACAATGTAAGATCAATCTTTTTATTTAATTTTAAATATAAATGGTTATAAATTACATTATGACCATGATAAGTATTTTTAGTTTTTTTGAGTGCTTTAAGCTTTTAAAAATCAATTTTTAAATTTTGAGCAAAGCAATGAATGTACTGGTCCTACAATTTTTTTTTGGCTGAGCCTGACATTATCTTTTGGAAAGCATAAAATCATTTTTAGTCTTTAAACCTAACTTTAAGGAGGGTTAATTCTTGTAGCCAACTGAAAAAAAATTATTGTATTGAGGGTAAAAGTAGGAAATTCTCAGTACTTTTTAAAATATTCGAGATACTTCCATCACACAAATTATCAAAAAAATTAAACTTTAATTTTTGCTGAAATTCAAAAAAAAAACTAACCTTTAAGACTTAGAATGTTTACCAACATTTTTTTTAACATTTTCATAACATGAATTAATTAGCTACATAGTTAGGATCTATTTGAGTTATATTTATAAACATCTGAATTTTTTTAGTTTTTATTTATTTTTTTTTGCTAATAAGAAATATGGGTCATACGCTTAAATATGTAGTACAAATTTATCATGATAAAAATCCTTACAAAAACGAAAAAGTGCAAAACTCCAGTTACAATTATTTTTATAAGAGTTTGAAGTAAAAATGTTGATATATCTTGTTAAAATCAATAATATTTACAAATTACTTTGTTGTTAAAAATGTATACAATTTATAGTTATTCATTTTAATAACGTATAATTTTTTAAAAAATATTCAATACTTATGAACAATTAGTTTTGTTAGACATTTATAGTTCTAATGTTGACACAATTTGATATTAAAATGAAAAATAATTATTTTGTTGTTATTCAAAAATGATTAATTTATCAATTTGAATAATTTTTTTTCATACATATTATTATTTTGTTATTTATAAAAAAATTAAATTTTAAAAATATCTAGACTAATTTTGGGTAAGTTTAAGCTATACATAGATAACATAAACCTATTTATACCTTTATATGATACGTTGGTATTGACTTATAAGTTAATAACAATAATAAATTATGCATAAGATATTTTTGAAAATACTAGTTCCATCTACAGTATTTGTATTAGACGATAAATTAGTATTTACTTATAGTAATATCATTGATTACAGTACTATATTGTTTAATCAATGTTAGTATCCTTAGAAATACATGTAAGCCAACCGACCGTCTTCGCTCAGAATATTTTTCATCGAACACACTATTATGGTGATTTATCATAGATTCAAATTGTATGTATCCCATTTATAATAACAGTGACCTACATAATAACAATCAAGTGCATACGTAACATAGTATATACATCAAATCGATTTCCACGGTTCTTTTTTTTCAAATATCTAGAATAAAAATAGAAAGACAACTTCCCAAGTAAAAATAATTACCTACTCGTAATATTTTTCAAAACTAATGAATAGGTATAGTAGTAACTCAATCCCACAAATATTACACAAATCTGGCAATCACCGAATGAAATAAAAACATCACGAAACCATCATACACTGACTACAACTCTAGCCACACCCGATTTGGACATGAATAGTTTATAAGGGGAATAAAGTCTAAATTACTAGCTATATTTATTCATCGTTCGTTGTGAAATATAAATAATAATACTAACCGTATGTACTATGTATAAGTGTTAGTTTAGATAAAAATAGTGAAATACAACCTCTCGATCAATGTGTTTGAAAAAGTCGACAATGATTCTATCGTAAATTTCTAAACTCTGGCTTAGACATACGATTCTAGTCATATTATACTATTTATGCATAATATATAATATAATATGACTATGCAAATAATATATACATTTAACAATATTTTAAAAAAATGGTCCTTGTGGCTCGAGTTAAGTTTGAAAAAAAAAAATATGTAAACAAATAAATGTACATTTGTATGCACCTACTTAATATAATTAATTCAAAATAGTTTTTTGTATAATATTATGTTAAATAGTAAATACTAACTTGTTTAATAAATGGTTTCCTTAAATATTAAAATGACACTTCGTTGACGCAGTATTTAAATATCATCACTATTTTATCGAATGTCAAATGCAAATTGCTTGTTATGAATATTAGAGTAAGTTCACCTTTTGTACAGCTTCAAGACAATGATATTGTCCATAATCCATCACCTTTATAAAAGTTTCTAGTAATCTAGTATATGTTTTTATACATATAAATTTTGAAATCCAGTTATATCAGTAGACAAAATATAACGATTTAAATATACTTTTTGCTCGTTTTTAAATAAAAATTTAAATAAAGGTGACACGAGAGCACATGGATAATGTTATTTACTGTTTAAACATTAGTAATATCAATGAAGATAAGAAGATATGAGGAATATCAATGAAGTCATATTCTATACGCATATATTACGTTCTCTTAATTAAAAATTTCACGTGAATAAAAAATTACTCATAAATAGTATAATAAAACTGCTAAACGTGTCATAAGAGTAACAGACATATTAGTCTCACTTAAACTGATCTATGGTTTTGAACTTGCCACCGAAATCATTTCGTTGCATATATTTCCACCATAGTTTACATTTATTAAAATGATTTTAAAATAAACTCAATATTCCGATTTTCATCCTAAAAATATAAACAATTATTATCACGCTTACCCTGATTGGGTATATTGAATCGGCATGTTGGATAGCGCTATCGTCTGATTGTTTTGTTTGACCACCGATATGTTGAATTTCGCTTTATACTCGGGTTCGTCATAACACGGGAACGCTCTTCTGGCATAAGTCGGCTCGAATTGCGTCACAGCGAACCACCTGTTGAGTTTCGTTGAGACCATCATAGTATCGCTTATATTTCACCAAATCGTTAAAATAACAATAATAATGCTGCACTCACTTGGTCGTACCTCGATCCTCATAAGAATCCAAGTACAAACCAGTCATGTCAGTTCTTATATTTCCAACGTACGTGATCGATACCCGCAGATACTTCCCCGTCGGGACGTACCTAAAAAGATGGATTTCGAACAGTTCGTCATTCTTCAGATACACCCACTGTCTTATGTCCAAAGGCCTCGAGACGGTCGTTATATCCGTCACCGTCACGGCGGACACGTTCAAGTCCCTGAGATTCATGGTCACGACATCGGTGGCCGAAACGACAGTGATGTGTATATTCACCACGCCACGGAACGTCAAGTTATCTGTACCGTTGAAGTTCTGTAACTCGAATCGCAAGTCGTAATACTCTGGAACTGTGGTACCAGGCAGCCGGGACACGGCGTTCGTGGTTTTCATCAGGTTCGTATTTCCAGCCTGTCCACTCAACTGTGGGACCATGGCATACAAGCACAATACGCAGATCAAAGAACATGTCGACATGATTGCAGCTGCAGTGCACGACGGAAACTTATAACATACTGTTTAATATAATATTACAATGTTCTCTTGTAAAGCATCGGGTCCGTATTAGTTTTATCTTATCTAATAATAAACGCAAGAGCTCATCCATGTTTGTAGGCAGTGCGGCCGTTCACCTTCCAAAGAAGTCTGTGTAGAAATTGCGTCATTTCGGAACAATTTACGACCCTCTAATCGCAGTAGGTAATCCGTCAACATCATACACCACTTGAAACGAATGTCATTATACTTTATGTTTGACGTTTTAATCCTGTCTTGTTAGAATTTCTTTTATGTCATTTCAGTGATCTAATTTCTGGAAAACCAATGCACTGAAATGTGACCAACCTCTGAATTCTGATCCACAATCGTATTGATATCACTATATCAGTCTTCACCACTTTATTTCATTCGTTTTGTCGGTCAATGTTAATTTCTTCAGAGCCCCTATAATTGACTTATAATTCAATTGCATTCCACCATATAGCCATGTCTAAAATTCACTTTATAATTTTAAGCATACCACTTAAATTATATAAATGTCGTAAAAATTACTTTTTTTAAAACAGCATACGTTTATAAAAAATTAATGTGATTTTCTGGTAATTTTTTTTTTTTAATGTTGAAACTCTTAGGAGGGACCTTGTATTAAATTTTAAAATTATTCTTAGTGCCCCACGTGCCTATCAGTAACTTAAAGGATGGAGGTCGTAAAGGAGTCGCAGCGACACAGCTCCCATCGGACAGCTAAGTACGAATCGTGAATTGGTTGTTTCTCGTCATTTGATTCACCGAATAATAAGTCGTCTGTGACTTATTATTCCGTATATGACACAAAAACCACAAGCTATGCATACATATCATTGACTTTACTTTTTCCTGTTCATTGTAATATTATACACATGTAGTAGGGTCACATTATTATATAATTATAATAGCAATAAAAATGTTCATATTCCGTGTATTCAGGAACTTTTGCATATTGTTATAAAATCCATCGAGTTTCATTTAAGTCCATCCGTAAAATAGCAGATTGCTGATAAGTTAATCGGCTTGATTACCTACCCTCCAGCGGCTGACCGATCTGATGAATTTAGGAACACACGGATTGTGTTAGTAATATACCTACATAATAAATCTGTCAACAAGTTAAAAAAAAACCCCAAATACAATATGATAACGTATATACAAGTATATTAAAAGGTAATATAATTTTAAGTATTTAGATTGGAGTAGGTACAAATAGTAAAATATTAATTTAGACATAAATTTCCACGCGAGTACCTATATTGTTTTTCAATGAGTCCGTCGATGATTACAGACGCTGCCAAGAAAACACTTTTTTTTATCCAAGTAGTGCTGTAGGGTTTTTGAAGACAATTTACATTTTTAGTTTAGTAACTATACACGGAATATTTTTCTGAGGCATTATTTTATCAGAAATCGTTTTAGATGAATAAATATTTAATGTTTATATGAACAGAGTGAATAACAATTTATGTGAGGACCCCCCTTGTTTAACTCTGTTTATCCTAACTTTAAATAGTTAATAATTAAATATTTGTTTGATATTTGTTATGTTACATGTTTTTATTATTACATTGTACAACATAAACATAAAAAAACAAATTAACATTTTAGATTTTCGTTGTTCCCAAGTAATGTTTTACATACTTCAAAGTATACTACATTTTTTTCACCAATAGAAAAATTAAATTAGAAAATTAAATGATATAATATATAATATCATTGTCCTGTATTCTTTTAAATTTGAATACCTACCCTGTAGAATTTATTTTTTAATAACATTCGAGCGATCGCTGCATGATTTATTTATGAATAGTGAAAAATACTATTCATATTTCTAGGTAATAATGATTAGGGCCCGAAAGTTCATGCATTGGCATGTTTTCACTGAGTGTATCAAAAAGTTGCTGGATAAGCTACGAATTTGAATCAAAACCTATCGAGTTCATAAATGAAACTTTAGTTTGCATATTTTCGCGTATTTTGATTTTTTTTCATAAATACCTATGCATATTTTAAAATACAATTGCATTTTATTGCATTTTGCTTTGGCTAATTTTTTTGTATTTATTAATATTTCAGACTGAGTATATTTCATAATATATTTCTTGAAAAATATGTCTTTATAAATACTTCGCCAATATTCAATAAAAACCTGTCTGAAAGTATAGGTCATACTTTAATATTATGTCATTTATATCCTGATAGGCGATAAGACGATTATAATTCTGCCTGTTCAGGATATAATATGACTATCGTTTGTCGCGATATTTCGAGACTAAGGCCGACGACCTTTTGTACGCGATAAGCTCGGCAAGCTCAACCGTCTTCCCCTCCGCACTTGCCTGTACGACAACCGTGGATATCCACCGACATACGACGTACTATCTGTTCTTCTGCGACCGTCGTTCGAGACGTCGCCTTTGTCGCGTGTGCGTTTGCCATTTTGTGCCATTTTGCGCCGTTGGCGTGTGTAGTATTACGAACACTCGTTTCCTTTGATTGTTCGGCATCATTGGGACATCGTCGCTGTCGTGCGTGGGCGCGTTTATTCGCTATTGGCCGTGTGAACCGTTGAAACCGTGTATTGACTTCGCAGCCTTTACGTCATCTGCGTTGTGGTCATTGTATTGTTGTTGCGGGTTGTCACTTTCATTGCGTCCCTTGCTTTTACGAGTGCATAAAAATTACGCGGATTTCGGTGTCAATGACCTGACACCTGTCACTTATCAAAAAGTGATATCAGGCCAATAATTAAGCGCCACCAGTCTATGGGAGGCACTGCGAGGGACCCAGCCGTCGGTGGAGTTTAGCAGCTTATTGGTACTGTTATTTTGTTTTTGTTTGTAGCAGGGCTTTTTGCATTTGAAAAATAAATTTTGTTTTACGTTATTTACAATCAAAACGTTATTCAACTTTTGTGTTTATCGTTATTCAGAATAAAAACGTTATACAATTTTTGAGTTTATCGTTATTCACAATTAAAACGTTATACAATTTTTGAGTTTATCGTTATTTAAAATTTAAAAGTATACGACTATGACCTTTTTTGGGGGACATTATTTCCCTATTCTGAGTTTTAAGTAGGTATTGTTTAATTTTATTTATTTAATTAAATGGGTTAAACTAATATAAAGAAAACTTATGCACGTTAAAACTATAAGTATATTAGTATAAAATATAAATATTAAACATTTGACAACAATTAGACAAACACTGACGAGTGAATAAATCTGAGCAAACTGAACACCGAACACAATAGTGAATACCATAGATATTGAATAACTTGAGTGGTATAAATTTCGACCGTAGTACAGATAGTACAGTACAACATTATCAGAGGCCAGAGCATCACTATTATTAGCTATTGGTAATTCAATTATTCTATTAATAACTTCTTATTAAGTTTTAAAATAATATCTAATACGGGATCTCCCAGATAAGCCGGATACGGAATAAAATTAATTCTTGGATTGAATAAATAATTGAATACTACTAAGTATTATTAAATAATTGGGAATTAATTATTTCGTTTAATGGAATACAATATATACCGTTTTGCGTTATGTTTTGTTTAATAATACATCATATATTTTGTTAAACGTTACGTTTTGTTTTGTGTTATTTATTTATTTACGTTTATCGTTTTCCGTTATAATTACGTTTACAAATTTCAATCGTTTTTTATCAAATATAACGTTATAATCATAACGTTATTATAACGTTTGCAAGCCCTGGTTTGTAGCTATACTATTCGTGATATCAGTGATATCGACCACGTTAATTATTATCAATATTATTAGATTTGTTATTATTATTGTATTTTAGTATTTCTTGTATTTGGGCACCAGTCTTTCATTTATTATTATTAATATTTATATTGTGTATTTTATACGACGCGTATTATAGTGTATATTTGTAGCACGACGGTGCATATAAAAATTATAGGTTTTGTTTATTATAATATTGGTCACCCGCTCCTTGTACGATAATTAACTATACACTCTGGGTTTTCTTAGCTTGCCATCCTAGGCCAACGCATTACGTAAGAATCTGGTGGTACACTGCCTATATTTAATGGTTACATTCTCAAATAGTCCAATTGGAACATGTGATCGAGAAAAACGAGCGATTTGAGATACTGTAAACAAAATTCATGTCAGGAGAAGAAACAACAATAGAAAATCTTCAAATTAATGACTTCATACACTAAAAGTATGCGCCAATGTCTTCTGTTGATGTAGAACGGAGCTTTCATCTTTACAAAAATATGTTGGCTGATAATCGTAGTTCATATTTTGTATTTGAAAACATGTCAAAACCCCTAGTTGTAGATTGTAATTCTTGAAATAAATACAACATAATATACCATATTAAGTCAACTGTTCATATTTTTCTCCATATTTTAATTATTATTTTTACCAAAAACGAAAAAATGTATTGTAAAAAAAATGCATATTTAGCTCATATTTTAATGATTTTAAGGGCATATTTGCATGCATATTTTGAGGGTTTTTAGTGCATGAACTTACAGGCCCTAAATTAATGATTATTAATAGTTAATAATTTCGGAAAATTAAAGATTTTTTAAACGTAATACCTTCACGAAATACTGAAAAATAAACTATTATTTGGGGTTCAAAATATAATCAATTCAATTCTTAAGGATATTTATAAAATATTCAACTTTTACAGTTAAGGATCAAAAATTTTAAATAAAATTGTACACAAGTAGTTAATTCTGTAACCAAAAAATCAAAAGAATTAAAAACACAGTTTTTTTCTTATAGTTATTTTATGTTCAAATTTGAACTAATTTACATATTATAACCAAGAATAATGATTTAAGTAATTTTGTTGCAATTTAAAAATACTATTTTGTGTACTTGAAATTGTTTGAGTATATTATTATATTCTATACACACAATGACTTTTTAAGTAAGTTGTAATTTTGTTTGCAAAAATGAAGTAAACCTACTGTAGAACTAAAGCTTATTAGTAAAATATATTACTTTTATTACAATAATATCATCAATCAATATACTAAATTACGAAGGAATATTTTAGGCTGACAGGCCGTCTTCGCTCATAATCGTTTTTCGTATTCATTGATTTTGTATCATTGAATTCAAATTTAACACTATCCATTACAATGACCCATTTTTAACCTACTCTATAGCAGAGAAACATCCACTTACCTGTTTTTTTTGATTTATTTTGATAATTTTTGATAAAATGCTTTTCTTTTTTTTGTATATATTCTCCTATAAAACGATCCACACTATATAACAGCCACTGACAAAAACACGATTTGTTGGTTCAGTATATTTGTCAATTTGTGTTAACGTTCAATTTTTTTCTAAAAATATGCGGCAAAAATAATAGGTGTTTGTATTTTACAGAAAAATATGCATAATATATGAATATTAAACTATAATACTATATTCTACTATAGGTATACACGAATTACCTATATATAATTATTTATTATAAAAATATCAGTAACTAGCTTTTTTATAAAAAAAAAAAAACATTTGTCTAAAATAAACATAACATATTATTATAAACAGTATAGTTTTCAAACATACAACTCCCGGGTAAATCAATAACATTTTAGTATAAAATATAATATTTTTGATACTGTTGTATGTGCTATAGACGCCTACACTTTACCGTCGTACAAATATCTATAAAATACGATTGTTGGTCTACGTGAATTTTACGAGTGCGATAATATGTATATTACTTAAAACGTCCGAAGAACATTTCAGGGTAATAATAGACATCATCGGAACGAAAAGACATTTGGTATTTTCACACACACATCCGCAACAGAAACAGACCAGGAAACGATTACGATGACTACAATAACGGTTGCAGCCGCTGAGCGGGGAACAGACACAGCGCCGCCAACGTGAATAAGACCCAAGTCAACGCCGACACCTCTAGAGACTGACTGACGGCGCTGGAAGTTTTGGTCGACCACGTTTCATCTACATCTGTGGAGTTTCCAGTGGAATGATGGAAGCCTGGGTTCTCTGGCAATCCAAGCCTGAGCACGGTGGCCGAGGACCATTCACCGATTGTCGAATGGTGTTTGTCGAACCACGCCAGATTGTCATCCACGCTGCTGCGGTACGACTCGTCGAATTTCCGCCGGAGACGTTCGGGTACAGAAGGGTCTTTCCTCAGGCTGTCAATCTTTCAAACATTTTTAAGTTAAATAATATATTATTAGTCATCGTAGAATCCTAGTTAAAAAAAATTGTTTAATGGTTATCGATTAGTACATTATTATACAAAGGTAGAGTATCATTCGTGATTTATTTTTATTAAAACATTTGTCTGTGGCATGCGTTTACTATTTTCATGTAAATTACAGTTTTGTAACCACCAAAAGACCACTGAATTTAAATTTTTTGAGTACCTATACGGGAACGAATTATTGTTCACCACCACACCCATCATATCACACACGCTTTTGGAGAAAATCCGCAGGATACATTATAACCGATGGCCCTCAATAAGTTTCTATGTTTTCTAGGTTTCAGACTTTTGGTACCTTTAGTATTTCTTCGTCACGAGCCACCCTAGAGGCCAACAGCCCGTATATAGACGTCGCTACTTGTTCCCCATTGATTATTTCGTTTACGATCCGGTCGAGTTTGGTGGTTAAGAACTCAATCAATGCCCCGATGCCCTGTGGCGTTGACGCCAACGTGCGGTATATAACTCTAAAGTCTTGAGGCAGAATTGGACCGTTGTACCCTTCAAACATAAAATCCAAATACCTATAAAATAAAAAAATATATCCGTCGATTAAACAATAAAATAATATGTTGTTTCATCACTAAAAGCATTCGCTAGAAAGTTGGTAAAGAATCCTAATCAATGTGTTTGTGGATTATCGTTCTGCCACAGATCACTGCAGATACCTACTATTTCGCTGTAGTACAACTTACTTTGACAGTTTAATCTGATCTTTGGAACACGCCAAAGCCAACAGAGCGGACTGTCGATCAGACGCCGATTCCGACTGGACGTACACGTTTAGGACGCCTTTCCACACTTTCAAATCGCCGTATTTTACCCCGACACAAAATGCCGCATCCCTGATATCGGCCGGTATACTGGAAACAAATAAAAAGCGTCGATTGATAAGACGAGTGCCACGTTGACCATTGTTATAGGTTAGTTAGATCCCATTACTTTTCACCCCGACGCCATTTCTGAAAGTAAGATAAAGCAGATTTCGTGCACGGCTCGTTGTCCAATTTGCACGCCCAACTAGAGAATGCGCTCCAGCCCGTGTTGACGGTATGATCTGTGCTGTTGTGATTAAGGACAAGATCTTCGGTTTTAGAGTATATTAACCCCGCCAAGTATCCAACATAAGCCTACAAGTGTACATGATTAGGTTACATATAATTAATAACGTGTTCATTTATTTATGTTAAGTCATAATGAACTACCTATTTAATCATTCAACATAATACCTTATAACTCCGATAATTTACTATCAATAGACAAAAAAATTAACAAAACAGTAGAAAGTCGAAGTCATGTCATACCAATGTTCCCTCAACCGAGACTCAGTAATAATAATTAATATTTACTTTCAGTTTCTTGAAACCATTCGGACAACGTCTCATACGGTTCATCAAATACGTAAATCCATTTTGAGCTGAATACCACGGGATCGGGTCGTCTTCATTTATCAGATATTCTGACAACTTCAAGACCAATGCATAATCCAAACGGTTTGCCTTGGCCAAATTAAAAGCGTCGTCAATCAACTGAGCCCTATTGAGCACGTGTATTTCTTTGCAATCGTTATGCAGCTGACCAATTAAGGCATTCCAATTTTCTTCCTCGTAATTAACTCTAAAAAATCCTAAAGTTTTTATTTTTTAAAAACGGTTGTATTATTTTACAGTAGGTAAAATTCAAAAACGATAACATAGTGTTGCTTATACACATTACCGATTGACTGTAAATTGAAAATATACCATCCGTTTCCATCTCGATCCGTTAAAACAGTCTTGTTTTCCTTCAGCCAAATCTTGGGCAAAACCAAATTGAAATCCTTCCGGTTTTGAGTCGTATATGTCAGACCAATAATCCATTCTGTCTCATCGTCGTCGGTACTATCATTCAAACCGTGAACCAAAAACCGTTTCTGCAAAATCATTTTTCTATTTCTCACCACTTCCATTGACGATATTGCCTATATCTACCTGAGTTATGACGAACGTGTCATTCTTCTTGACGATTTCTACTAACGGGTAACCGGCCTGTTCTGTCCAAGATCTCATGAATTCGGTGACGGTTAATTTTTCCCCTAAATCAAATCCTACGTCGTAGAGAGCGTTTTCGAAAGCGTTCCACAAATCATCGGGGGTAGCCGCTCTGAATCTAAATAATATCATAAAAATATGATTTTCCACATTTATTTTAAAACGTTTAGCCCGACACACTAGGAAAATCGTCCATACTTACTTGTTTTTCGTCAGATACAAGTTCAGCGCTCGTTTGAAATTGTTTTCGGTCACCGCGTACTGTAACATCCGGAGCACCGCCCCCGCTTTGCTGTAGGATATATTATCGAACATGCTCCGGATCTGTGCTGGGGTTTCGACGGATCCCGATATGGCGTGCATCGGGCTTTGGTCTGAGCTTAAAGCCAATTGGTGCACTTCGTACACAAACACGTCCTCTAAGCGCCAGTCTGGTTCAACCTGCAATAAAATAGTATTGTAGTTCTTTCACTATTATCGCCGACCGACTTTAAATTTTATAATTCATATTATACCATTTTAGTAGCAAAATATTCGAAAAACGTTGCGAAACCCTCGTTTAGCCATAAGTAGTCCCACCACGCGCATGTCACCAGGTCTCCAAACCACTGATGAGAGAGTTCATGTTGCACGACTGTCGTCACAAACTCTTTGATTTTCGTCTTGGAATTTTCCGACAGTAGTAACAGAATCTCCCTGTTCAAATGTCATGATTTTTTCGGTTTAAAATTCGTTTTTAATAATATTTATTAAGATGACCTTGCAGATAATTTTTTTTCTCGTTTTAACTCCCTATACTTAGTACGTTTTTACGTCTATAATTTAAAATCAAATATTCAATTGTGCATTTATTTCTATTGTGAACAATGAAAATATGTAATATACAATTTATGAACACTTTTCGAATGTTGAACACTCTTTATTTTTTTATAACACATGTTTTTATATTGTTAACATTTTCTAACAATTTATCTAATACACAACTGCATCAAACCATAATAATATGTATTGTCTATATATATTTTGAAAGTATGGTAAGAACGTTCTGTTTAATATAGATGGCAAAATTATTGTAACACATGGTTTTATTTACCCATTACCTGTATGTGTTCAATCCCCAATTCTCCATCGCACCAGCCGCGAAGTCCGGAATCGCCAGCAAATCCAGTTTGGGCAATGTGTAATCCACTCCTGTGAACTCCTCCATTGCTTTGAGCAGTTTCGGCGCTTCGTCCGCAATATACTCAGCCTGCCTCACGTAAAGCCTATGCGTATATATCCCGATGTTACGCGTTTTCATGGCGTAAAATTCACCCACGAAAAACGCCACTAAGTATGTGGATATCGGCGGGGTCTCCTTGTAGTGATCCCAAAACATGTCTGTATTTTGACTGTATCCGTGCCAGAAAAAATACACAAATTAATACAAATGGGGTACAACTACTTTGCCAATCGTGTTCGGACATATCCTCCCCTTCCTACTCATATTTAAGGAGAGAGATGCGTTTTTCAAATGTTCAAAGCAGAACGAAAGTTACACGCAAGTGCCTGTTTCTGCAGTCATACAAATACATGAAAATGATAACTTATGTTTATGTGCCTACTATTATGTGCATACGTCATACATATGCATACGCTTAAAATTGAAAAAATCATTTGGAGCTAGCGAAATATAAGCTATAATATAAGACTATAAAATATGTTACATCGATGCCAAACACATACTTTATTTTGATTTAATGACATCATATATCGTCAAAAATACAAAACTATCCTGTAGGTATTAGAATACCTAGATTAAAAATAAATATTAAATTGTATAGATGAGGGGATAGTTAGATGTCTTTCATTAGAACAATACAATTGTTGAAACTTAAAAGAACTAGTCGAAGCGTGCAACACGATCGAACAGGAACACAATAAGAAAAGTATATTATAATATCCTTACATTTTGGTAGAATTCAACAACGGCATATTGGACAAAGATATTTGATCAGACCGCCTTTTGATGGCCACTGTAAACGGTGCTTTGAGCGCAGGTTCGTCGAAACAGGGAAATGCTTTTCTTGCATGCGTGGGTTCAAACTTTGTAACAGCCAACCATCTAAAACCACATATTATATTGAAATATATACATACAATTGAAAACTGGCTTCGTCTAATGAATGGACGATACGTATTTTGAAATTTCACACCACCCATATACAGCATATGATGTATTATTATGTCATCATTATTGATATATTAAACCACTTCAATTAATAACCGTTATAATAATAATAATAATATGCTTTTTATTAAATCGATTAGTATAAACACATTGTAATTTGTAATGTATATACTATTATAACAAGACTTTTAAACAAGAGGAACGATTAATGGAAATTTAAATTTTATTAAACATAACACATCTTTGATGAGTAATTATTATATAAACAGAGGGATAAATCTATTTAATCGACTACCAACAAATATCAAATTGATTGATAATGTTGTCAAATTTAAAAAAATATTAAAAAATATGTATATGCAGTCCTTTGAAAATCTTGTTTAATATCCGTCTTTATTATAATACCAATTGTATTGTTATATTTTTAGGACTTGTTTCGGTTATTTTGTATTCATCTTTATAAATATTATGTATTGTTAAATTGTGTATAAATTTTGTAATTATATTAAGACTCCCTACTCTTACCACAAGCTATTGCTTATAGAGAGTAGGTATCAACTTAAAATGTTAATTTAAAATTTTGTAATCGTTACTATGAAAGAAGTTGAATAAATAAATTATTATTATTATTATTAATTATTATTATTATTATTACACTCTATAGTCACAGAATAATATTACATATATTATAAGAAAAATACGCTGAAAGTAGGTCTAAAAGAGTATTGTTACTGCAATTTTCGCAGTCATATATATGTTTGGAAAGGAGATGAGCTCTCGAATATTAATATTAATTCCAAAGCATTATTTGAAAATTCAATATTAAAATTTTAATATACATACCTATACATGATTCTATAAAATGTTTTAAGATGAAGTTATTTGCTACTACAAAACCAGGTGGTGTAAAATGTAGGAATCTAACACGTACAACTTTTTTTTTACAAATCTTGTTATAGGAGTCAAGAAACTATTTTTAAAAATTGCAACTCCAATGCAATTGTGCTCCAAATATATCGTGACACATATTACCAAGGCCCCACAAGCTCAGTCCACAAAACCCAAAAATCCTTTACAAATACAAACGCGCAATACACAACCCGAATAACCTTAATTATATTTTGTTTACGAAATCCCCGGATAAACATAAGGGTTGACCTGAAACCTATTTTGTTTTTTATTAAACATATTGTTATATGTTTTTTTGTTTACGAGTATTTTTTTGTAGTTTAATTCCATTATACGTATAGTTAGTTTTGCAATAATAATTATATTATTGAGTGGAGGATGTTGTAACTTTTAAGCGAATTAAACTGTTTTTAGTCTTAAAAAGTATTTAAATATTCATTTTTTCAATATTTTGTAACAATATTAACCATAGGTTTTAAGGCACATCATAAGGATAACATTTTATGAGTTGAAATGATGATCTAAGAAATTTCCAAATAGTTAAGTATAGCAGAGAACAGTAGCATGGTTATAACAAGCTTAAATCACCCTTAACACCCATATCGATCAGGATTATAATGACATTTTCCCGAAATGGACATTGAAATTTCTACATCTGAACATCCTAAACCCGAATAAACAATGTTTTCGAAAATTATATACTTGGTGACGTTTCCCTCTCGGTACGAGCTTCTATAGTAACCGGACATATCGTTTCGGAGAGACGCCTGAAAGTCGACGGTGACCGCGTAGTAACGTTTGGGTATCAAGCACCGGCCGCCAACCGTGACAATCAGCTGCTCGTCACCGTCTACCAATTGCCGGTCGGTGACGGTCAGCGAATCACCAGTGTTCACGTCGGTCACCCGGACTCCCGTCACCCAAACGTCTTTGGCGTTGAGTACGATCCGGCACTGCTTAGGTTGCACGGATGAGACGATCACGATCTCCACGCTGCCCGAGTACGACAGCCTGTCCAGATCGGTGTCCACACGCAGCGCATACGACACGGGCGTCACGCCGTCCGGTAACCTGTACACGCCCGAGGTACTGTTGGTGGCCTCCGAACTGTCATTGGTCGGCGAAGCGGCCACCGCCTCGAACCCACCTGCCACCGCCGCTTTAAACCCATGGGCCACGTCTGACTGGTACGACGATAACAGGTCGTTCGACTGGCCGGCCGCTTCACGCCGGTGCCGTGGCACCACCGCGACGAAGAACAAAACGAACGTAATGAACGCGTAACGAGCCATCGTCTAGTCTCGACTGATCGCTGACGCCGACGACACTTCGGTACAGATCCCGTGGCCTACGATAACGCTAATCCGGCGTGTTCGCAGATTATATTGCCTAATTTGAAGTGTGCAGGTTTAATGGCAAGTTATAACATTGTCGATATATTGATTTGTTTACGACGACACTATAAATATATCAGTACGGTGCGTTATACTATGACGGTTTCGCATTTCGTAATAATATATATAGTACGACCTTTGATATATATGCTGTTACCGTTGTGGAAGGTGGAGGAGGTTATCCAACCTTGATCATGGTGCATAAAACTATTGAGATTTCAGTATATTATGATAGGCACTTAGACTTGGTCAGGTATGATATTAAGAGCTAAAACCCAAAAGTTTCCAGACAAATTCAAACTAATAGCATTTCGTATAATATTATCCGCTCGACGTAGTAATATAAAACGTGTACTGATCATTCAGAACCATCTAATATACAAATAATGATAGTACATTAATTAATGTAGTATTAAATTATATATTTTATGATATAATATGTCTAGTTTTCAAATATGACGTGTCCAATGCAATTCTTATAACAAATAATAATTACGAGCTAAATATTAGTATTTATATTATTAGTATTGCACTATCATTTGTAGTGATACATTCCATGTTTTCAAAACTTTTGTTCTTACAAAAAAACTCTACTTAATAAAAATTAAATCAACTAAACCGAAAATCACCATAAAAAATAATTATTATTATATTCTGAATATCTAAAAAATCATAGTAATAATTGATTTTAATTGGCAAAGATAAACACGACGAAACACTCTGTAGAACTGTGTATCAAACTTAATCCAACAAAAATTATTGGTGGTATTCGCGTAGATGAAAATAGAACAACAAGCTCTATAAACACACTCAAAGATAAAGAGTTGTAACCAACTCCTCAAAAATAAAATTTTTTATAGTTTTATGGCTCTTAAATTATATTATATTATAAAAGTAATGGGTACGTTACTAAGTTTGATATACTATATCTAGTTCATAATTTACTAATTTCCACTTTTTTTGAAACTTGAAAACAAAAAAATCAAAACGAATTCGATCAAATTATATAGTTATATATTTAACCAACTAAAACGATCCAATCTGTGTATTTATATGATACACACCTATGCAACAAGCACAAACAGTTAGAAAAATACTTTAAAGTTTAATATGATTTATTTTTATTTTTAAATCCAGTCTTAAATATAAAAACAAAATTCCTATTAAATGTATTTTAAGTATGATAAATGTTGGGTGTATTGGAAATAAGTGGTTTAAAGTCAGGCCTATTTCCAAGTTGATTTGACAGAAAATATTTTCTCCACTCTGTCACAAATCAATAGAGTAACAAGCCTAGAGTGACAAAACATGTAGTTCTTTAAAACGGGACATAAATTATTATCGTACTCGACACGATTTTTATGCCTCAACGTCTTAAATCTAACCTTTACAAAAAGCTAGGCTCGATTAATTTTACACCAAATGTGTTGTCACTTTTCAATCGGCAGACACTCCAATACACCGCAGTGTTCGATCGGGTTTTCATAACTATCAGATCAAATATCAACGACGCAGTTATACATTTTGGTTTACTGAATTTATTTGCCTAAGGTTTGCAACACGCTTACCTCGTTTATTTAAGCTTATAATAACGCGAAGATTGGGAAAAATGGATTTTGCCACACTCGTAAAAAAAACATCACACCGCTATAATTATACTTAATCCTAATGATAAATATAAGTATTATAGACAGAAACTCGTCGTAGGGATTATATATTTAATAAAATAGAAGTATACGCATATCGAAAACTTAAAATATTAATAGTAATATCAAAATTAATTAAATCTCCACTTGCAATAGATTATTGTAAATTGCAATATACCTACTTATGTGCACGCCCACAAATTGGACTTGTTCGTGATATTAACATATAAACGCATAATAATATACCAACATGATATTTAAGGACCGTAAATGTTTTCCTAAAAATAGCTTTTACGCGATAGCTAAAAAATAAAACGATATTCATCATTAAGGTGCATATGAGCATATTAGCACCGGACTCTCAGGTTTTTGTGGGTTATTTTTAACAACGGCCTTTAATTTATATTTTCCTCAAAACGTTCGTCAAAAAACTAAATGACGGCTCGTTTTTAAAACTAAGAAAACGCGTTGCTGGCCCCTTCACATTAGCACTTAAAAACGCCCAGGTGTTTCGTTTCGTAAACCAACGGAAAAATATAAGTAAAATAAAAAGAATGATGGGGACAGTCGGACAGAGTGTGGTGGCGACCGCGAGGGGGAGGGAAGTGTAAAAAATACTCTCCGTCGAATATGACGTTCCTGACAGCAGTTCGCCCTCGCTAAAATGATATTTCGAACATAAACAAGGCACTATACGAACACATTTTTGGACGCCCAACTCTTTCATTCGTATTGTGTAAAACACTTCCTGGTTTGGGCGTGACCTTAGAAAGTACATCGTATATACGAGCATTTACCTTCTTCCCTTTTTTTCTGTCGTTACATCAAAGCTATTTCCTATTATTTTCGATGAAACACATAATAAGTAAAACAAAATTTTTAAGTCTTCCGCTTGGAACTGCTTGTCGGTGTAAGATAGAATAAAATACAACGACGAACCGTTTAATCGATCGTCCGATTATATGTTACACATTATTATTATTGTTATGATACGTACGCTCTTGTGGAGTTTCTTTTCCTCCAAGACAACGGTTCGCACGCAAACAAAAAATCCAATTACATGATTTTAGCTGGTCTATTACAATACACTGCAGCGGTGTAGGCTGGCTAACCATATAATCGTTATGCAACGGCGGTAAATGAACTAACATATTATTATTATACATATATGATATCACGTACTGCAGGTCACTCGTGTACAGTTAGGCGACAGGCGTCTAAAACGTTAAATAATGGTAAGAATGTTAAAATAATATGATTTACTGGTTAATAATGAATAATGATAATTAAAACAGCGAACTCGTAAAATCGCGTGCAAGACAATATTATGTAGGCGCACTTACGACAGCAATACAATGCAATAATATGATGTATGTGACGGACGACCGCTTCTATATGCTTGTATAATATAAGTCCCGACATCACAGTAATTATACTCAGTAGTCAATACTTAATGTATTTGATACATTGCACGATGATTCGCTTACCACTAAACATTCATTTTGTCAATAATTTAATTCCTTTTTAAAAACGTTTTATTTTTCAATCATTTTAAATCGAATAATATAACTTTACTTCAAAATAATTTGTATTTTGTCATTTTTATTTTTATTTTATTCAGTAGGTTAATCGGTAACAAACAACACGGAAAAGAATGTCAGGTAAAAAAACGTCACGGTGAAAAACGACACAGAAAAAAAATGTCACAAAAAAAACCGACAAAGTTATAAGTTATTATAAGTAATATAAAACATAATATAATTCTTATTACCTATTATAAGCTATAAGTTATAAGGACACCATGTAGACTATTGGTAGCTTCCATATATTTTGTGTCAATCCTATAAGCGTTTGATATTTTAATTGGTGTTTTTCACCTTGTCAATTTTTTTATATATAGAGAGCAAATACTACCTATACGTCGGGAATCTTTTCGTAAGAAAGAGAAATTTTTTTGAAAAAGTACAAAACCAAATAAGGCATTAAAAACGTAAAAATAAACGTAAAATACGTCTTAAATTTAGAAAATATAGAAAAACTTTATTTCATTAAATCATTATTATTATTATTATTATTATTATTATTATTATTATTATTATTATTGTTTTTACAAATATAATATTATTTAACTAAATATAATAACACACAACACAACGTATCTACTTAATATTAGCGGGAATTTTCTAAAGAGCCGTAGGTCCCGACCCCTGACCTATACGAATATAATTGTCATTTTTAGATAAAAATCAATTTGACATTTTTTTACCTCATGGTTATTTTTCTAGATTCACTCTATTGTTATAGTATTTGATTAGTCTAAAAACAAATATCGAACTAGTAAGTAGTATATTAACGTTACAACATTTTAATTTTAGCTGAATGGAGTAGAGTGGTAAAGCAAAATGTTTAAATGTTTGTACAGTAGGTAAATGTCGGTTAAAATTTCGATTTTAATATATCAAAATCCTCAAAACAATCTGCATAAGAATATGAAATATAAAAATGGTTGTTTTCATTTAAAAAAGTAAAAACTTAATGGTAAAATGATAAAAAAAAGTATTCTTTCATTTTTTTTTCAAGTTGTGTTATAATTATTTTTAATTATATTGTATGAAAAAAAAAACAAAATAAAAATTTACCTAGAAAATAATTATTTGTAGAAAAAAAAAAATATTGAAGGTAAATGTTTTTCATCAAACGTCGAATGTCTCAAGGAGTATCAGAAGAAAATATATTTTATTATATTGCAGGTCCGATGCGACATCAATACCACTCCATATCGTATCTAAAACCAGGACACACACAAAGATATATTTCTGAAAATGACCAAGCGAAATGAATAGTGATTTTTAAGTCACTTTGACGACCACGAACGTATCAAGTTTAAAATCTCTAGGTCGTATTTCTATATTACTGTTATAACCGGGCGCATATTAACCTTTACGTATTTGTTTCAAACCGTTTTGCCATAAATCGTACTGTTGTTTCGTGGTCCGTAGTTTTTTTGCAGTTTTCCTGGAAACTGATGTGAATGTGGACCTCTCTAATGATATGTACCATCTGTGTCCGATTTCCGATCGATATGCGGTGCTGAAATAAAAACTTTTTGAGCACACTCTTTTTACACTGGTAAAAGTGTTGAGGACCAAAAATAAATAAAATAATGATAGTAAAAATAATAAAACGACATAACATCGTAAAACCGATATCGTATTCTCTTCGCGAACCCTAAAACGACGTTAGATCTATGATCGTAAAATAATATTATGTATAAATATTAAATAAATAAATATATATATATAATATATATATATATATATTTATTATATATTATTATTATATAGCACACCGTGAGAATAGTATGACTTGCAGTTATCGCATTCGACTGAAAATCG